GGGGGGGGGGGGGGGGGGGTGAAGGGGGAAAAAGGGTCAAGGCATTACGGGTCCACAGCACAGGACAAAAAGGAGTTTTGGTTGGGCAGGTTTTCATATTCATTTTTATCGCGGTTGGTGAACGAACAACACCCCTTTCGCGGGTTACCGGTGGTTATATCTTATTGTTGTTTTTTTTGCTGGAAAGAAAGAGGGCTTTGCTCAGTGCAGTGCAGCGCAAGCTGCTAGCTAGCCGGGATGCATCAGGTGTGTGTGTCGATGAGAGACATGGAGAGAAAGCATGGAGACAAGGAAAAGGATGTTCAGATGTACGGAGTTGAGAAGTCATGATGTTATGAGATGCAGCCAGCCCACTGGGCGAAGAAATGGAGATGTCTGGAAAAACACGAACAAGTCAAGTAGTGCCAGCTGCCTGGGAGAGTTGAGAACGGCGAGCGTGTAGTGCAGTAAAGCAAGCAAAGATACCATTACCACCTATCTGTTTGTCATTAGCGTCTATCGTGGTGATTTGTATCCAATTGAATCGAGCCTGGTAAAGAAATGGACAAATGATGGTTTCGAACTACAATAGACATATCAAGTAGATCTTTAGCAAGGCTGGCTGACATCCAGGGTGAACATCCAGACCGCTATCCATTTGCTCAAGAAGTCACACGAAGATTTTTAACTATTATTCCTAAAACAAAACATTGCTAATAACATAACTCTCTATACACCATTAAAATCCTGTACACTACTAACCATCCTCCTCACCTCAACCTCGACGGCCTCGACCGTCTCCTATAATCCTCCACATCCCCCCACTCCAACCCCCCTCCCTCCGCCCTCCTCCCCCCCCTCGCATTATTACCATCACTACCACCACCCGTTCCCATCATCATCATCAGCTTCTTCCTATCCTTCCGCGGCCAATCCGGACAGATATCAATCCTTTCTCTAGGAAACACCAGCTCCAAAAACAAGAAGATCAAGTAATCGATAATCACCAATACACAAAATAATTTCCCGGCCCAGACGCCACACCCGTAGTATCGTTTGAGGCGGTCGATGAGGGCGAAACTTTGGACGCCTTTTGCTGCTGTCGATGCTGTTGCTGTGGTTGTGGAAGTTATTCCCGTCCCGTTGCGGTTTTGGCTGGTATTGAGACCATAAAACTCCGCCTCACTTATCGCACCACTAATCCCATTATACACCCGCTCCGTCCGTTCCGCGACATTCGTCCAGCTATACATATTCTTCACTTGCTCGTGAAACAGCTCCGTCCTAACTTCGTTTCTGCGTAACGCAGCAATAGCTTTCCCCGTGGCTGCGACGAGGTCGTCCTCTTCGGGCTTGGCGAAGACAGTCATGTGCGACGGTAAAACCTCGGGGATACCGCCTACTTGTGTACACACGACGTATAATCCGCAGCTGGCGGCTTCCACGATGACGGTGCCAAAGGCCTCGGTTAGGGATGGGTGCAGGTAGATGTGGCCTCGCACCATGACGTCGCGCACTTCAGAATGGCGGACGGGACCGAGCATTTCTACGCGGTCTTGTAACACGTTTTGCTCAATCATTTGTTCGAGGTCGATGGCTTTGGGGCCGGAACCGGCGATGATGAAGCGGGTATTGGGGTGCGCGGCTAGGATGCGCGGGATGGCGGCCGTGAGCAGGTCGGTGCCTTTGTTGTAGAAGAGCCGGCTGATGACGACTATTGTTATGGGGTCATGGGGACCTAGGATGCGGCGGGGGGGCGTGAGGGAGGATGGGTTGGGAGGCAGGCCACCGGGGACGGGGGAGGAGATGCTGCTTGGGGGTGAAGAGGTTGGGTAGCCGAGGGGACGAAAGTTCTCGGCGACGACGGCGTTGGGGATTACGGAGACCATTAGCGGGTCGAGGGAGGCGCGGAGGACGGTGTTTCTTTGCTTTGGGGATGTTAGTATGTATGTAAAAGGGGGTGTGGAGGAGCAGAGGGGAGTAAACAAAAGGGGTGCGGCTCACCAAGTATGAGAAACACAAATGACATGATCGACATCGCTCAGCGCAAACTTGAGTAACTTATTCGTGAGAATACTCGCCGCATCCGCAAACCCAAACAGACTATGATCCGTAAACACGGTCCTCAGCCCCATCGTCCTCGCATGCAGAATCGCCTCATGGCACAAGCTACTCAGTGAAGCATGGCCATGCACGATATCGATCCGTTCCCTCAACACGATATTCCGGAAAATCGGAAAGAAGGAGAACACGGTCGGAAAGGTGGCGCTTCGGTAGATGACGAGGAACGGCACGTGGTAGACTTTGAGTCCGTTGGTCAGGTACCGCACACCTGTTCGCCCTTCGTAGGCGTGCGTGATGATGATTACTTTGTGGCCGCGGTCGATGAGTTTCGTCGAGAGTTGGTAGATGTGCGATTCGATGCCGCCGGGTTGGGGGAAGAAGAAGTCGCAGACCATGGCGATGCGGTAGGTGGGCGCCATGATGGGTGGTTGTATGGGTCACATGGGGACCGTTTGATGATTCGGTGATAGTGTTAAATGAGATTTGGTGGTGGTATATGGGTCATGGTGAGATAAGTTGTGAGGATGTTACTGTTAGTGAGTGAGGAAGGAGTGATGAAAGTGTACAAGTATGTAAACAGACGACAAGACGTCCCATGTCTTGGCAGCCGTGGACCGCCAAGGTGCGCATTCCAGGTCCAGGGGTAAGTGATGTTGCAGGATCCACGCAGATAGCGATAAGCAGGGGCCTAGACGGGCGGTAAGACTTGGCAATTTGGGAAGATCCCCAGAAAAAAGTTGGGGTCCACTTTGGTGATGGAGCTCCGTCATTCGTTGGGTTGTTTTGTTTCGAGCTTTCCATCTTTCTTTTCCTCTTTTAATTGTCAACACCAGACAAGGTACGTACTTCCCTCTATACTTCCTATCTTCAACAAAATCAATTGAACACAACTGACAGCAACAGTCAACAATGTACAACAGATACATCCCCCCACCCAAGCCAGCGGGCGGTGCTGCTGCCCCCGTATCGTCGCAACCACCAGTGTCGCAACCACCGGCGCAACCAGCACGAATTGTCTTTGGCGATGATGACTTTGTCGCAAATAACCAGCCCAAACCTGTCGTCAAGGAACCAGTACACCAATTAGAGGAGGAACCCAAGTCCAACAAGTCGAAAAAGTCCCACAACAAGAAGCAACGCGACACCGACAACGATGCTGAAGAGCCTCCACGAAAGAAGACCAAGACCGACGACGACAATGACGAGCCCCAAACCGAACAGAAAGACGAAGCGCAACCCGAGACAATAAAGAAAGACCCCAAGAAACCCAAGCGCGAAAAGAAAAAGAAGGAAAGCGTCCTCGAAAACCCCGTCGCCGATCTCGAAGATGACCTTCAAATCCGCCAACGCCATCGCTCCGTCTTTGAAAAAGTCGAAAAGGCTCTCAAGCTGAAAGAGTTACAAGGCGACGACGAGGAAGAAACCCCCGAACCCGAAGAACCCGTCTACGACCTCGGTCCCCTCCCGCAACCCGCCCCTGTAATCGTCGACTCCTCCAAACTCACCTACGAGACCTTACCGCCCTGGCTCGCCAATCCCATCCGCGTCACCACCGAGACTAGGAAACCGTTTACAGAGCTAGGCATTTCCCCCGAGGCAGCCAAGGTTCTGGCCACAAAGGGATTTAAGGATGCATTTGCCGTGCAGACGGCTGCTCTCCCTTTGCTTCTACCTAACCCTGATCTGCAGGGTGACGTGGTGGTGGCTGCGCCTACTGGTTCTGGCAAAACGCTGGCGTATGTATTGCCTATGGTGCAGGATATTGCGCTTAGTCAGACGACCAAACTTAGGGGAGTTATTGTTTTACCGACGAGAGATCTGGTGCAGCAAGTCCAGGCGGCGTGCGAGGCGTGCGCGGCGGCGTTTGCGGGGAGTGCCGATGGAAAAAGAGTAAAGGTTGGAACGGCGATGGGAAATCGGCCGTTCAAAGAGGAGCAGGGGGTTATCATGGGCACCGAACAAAAGTACGATCCGCAGGGGTATCAGAAGTGGTTGGAGAGACAGAAGCAGTTGGTGGATCTGGATGGGGATAGCGACGAGGATATGGAGGAGGAGCTTGACCTGGAGCTAAAGCGCCCATTGCCGTATCACGTCATTCAGCATATCCCCAAGGTCGACATCCTCATCTGCACCCCCGGTCGCCTGGTAGAGCACATCACCAAAACCAAGGGCTTCACGCTCGATTATGTCCGATGGCTGGTAGTCGACGAAGCCGACAAGCTTCTCGCGCAAGACTTCCAGCAATGGTTGGACGTGGTGAACGACAAGTTGGCCGTCAGTAAGCCCGGCGCGAGAGACTTTGCGGCGAACAACAAGACGGGACCGAGGAAGATGATTCTGTCGGCGACCATGACGAGGGATATCACGCTTCTGAACGGGCTGAAGCTTTCCAGGCCGAAGCTGGTGGTCTTGGAGGGTGCGAAGGCGGGTGATCTGGCGATTCCTGCTACGCTTAAGGAGTATGCGATCAAGGTTGCCGAGCCAAGTCTTAAGCCGTTGTATTTGATCGATTTGTTGCAGAGCAAGTACATGGTTCCTGTTAACGGGAAGGATGTTGCTGGGTCTGAGTCTTCTAGCTCGGATTCTGATTCCAGCTCTTCCGACTCCGACTCCGACTCCGACTCCGACTCCTCCTCAGACTCCGATTCCGACAGCGAAGCCGAACCCACAACCCGCAAGGCCAAATCCTCGACAAAATCCGCGTCCAAGCCCACCACATCATCCTCAAAGACAGCAACCTTCCCAACAACAGCCCTAATCTTCACAGCATCCAACCAATCCGCCCTCCGCCTCTCGCGCCTTCTCTCCCTCCTCCTCCCCTCCCTCTCTTCCCAAATCGGCACCCTAACCTCCTCCACCAAGACCTCCGTCCGTCTCCGCACCCTCCGCGCTTTCTCCTCCGGAAAACTTCGCATCCTCGTCGCCTCCGACCTCGTATCGCGCGGTATCGACCTCTCAAACCTCGACCACGTAATCAACTACGACCTACCCCTCTCCGAGACTTCATACGTGCACAGGGTCGGCCGTACCGCCCGTGCCGGCAGGGAAGGAAAGGCGTGGACGATGGTGGAGTTTGCGGAGGCGAGGAGGTTCTGGAGGGAGTTTGTTGGTGAAGGACAGGGGGCGGTTTGTAATGTTAAGAGAGCGGAGGGGAGGACGGTGGAGAGGGTGAGGGTTACGGAGGGGATGGAGGAGAAGAAGGCCGGAAAGGAGGGGGAGCAAAGGGAGAAGAAGAAGAATGGGGGGTTCAGTGAGGAGAGGGTTAAGGCTCTGGAAGAGGCGTTGGAGATGTTGAGGGTTGAGGCTACTAAGAGGGTTAGAGCGACTTTCTACTTACCTACCTTGGAATGAGATACCAGGTGGTACCCGGTACAGGGTGTAGTGTACAAAGATGGGTTGAGTTTGCGTTAAGATATCCGGGGTATTTAGTTGTACAAAGTGTATTGCTTTGTGTTTATGATGTTCGTCATCCAAGAACGCAGAACTCCCACAGCTTGAAGCCTGTTGCTAATGTCAGATTATCTGGCTCATATGAGAGAATAACACAAAGAAGCCAAAAAGGCCGTATGAACTACACATATCACACATATTCGCCCGGCCCTCGGTGACCTTCACCCGACCCTCATTGACGTGGATTACATCTTCAGTAGGTATACTGACTGAATCAAAACAATCGCTGGCGCACCAGCTACTTATATCCACTTGTGCATTTGATATTACCACTACAACTAACACAGTAGACTTACTACCGTACTACCTACCGCCCTATCTCCACGGGCCCGGCACCATACATAACTGTGTACCTAATCTAACCTAACGTAACATGAACATTGTAACATACAAAAAGAGAGAAAATTGGCTGTGCGGCATAGCAATCAGCTAGCTAGCCATACTGGGGTACCTAGATAGAGGTAGACAGAGAGTAACAGGATGAAAAAAAAAAGGAAAATTGAAAAGATAGCTTCGACGTCCTGAGAGGACTGACAGGATATGTGTTAAAAGGAAAAAGGAAAATGATAGAGGTATCAAAACGACTCCAGCCAGTCCGACTTGACTCTTGACTCTTACTCTTGACTTATTTGCGCAACTGCAACGCAACGCAACTGCAACGCTTTTTTCGTTGCCAACCAACCACCAACCAACAACAATCCGCACCGTAGTTCACATGTTCGTCCACATGATGTTGGCTCCTTCTCCTTCTTTACTTGCACGTAAGTAACATGCTCTTCTTAATCCATTCGATATGGCGTCTATGGCGTCGCCGTGGCCCGTATCACGGCTCGCATTATTTTTGTTTTCTTGCCCTGATCTTACCGACCATTAAATTGCCTCAGACCTAGACCAAGTCATGCTTAGGACTGGCTAGCAAGGAAGTTGGCAGCCTGTGCAAAACCGTTAGCATCAGCTCCCCCCATTTCCAGTCTGTCTCCCTAAGGACCCCCAAGGAGTAAAAGAACTCACCCTCTCCAAATTATAATCATACTTCTCCAAAGCCCTCACCGCCTGATCTCTCGAGTACCCCATACTCGTCAAATTCTTGACAATCGGATCATCGTGTTCCCCCGTCGTCGTCAACGCTCTACCTGCCGGCGCTGGCCTTTCCAGCTCCCCAGCAGCACCTTCCTTCTTTTGCTCCTCACCCCCCTTCTGCTGCTCACCACCAGCTTGTTGTCCTTGGGGATTAGCACTCGACCCCGGCCTCGGCGTCTCCAAGCTCTCAAAAGGGCTTTGACCACTACCCTGTTGAGCTTGACTTCCCTCATCAAGACCCGCAAAGATAGCATCCCAATCATGCGCATCTGCCTTTGGCGCCGCGAATGATCCTTGAGATTGGGTAGCCTGGTGGGAAGGGATAAGGTCGAAATCGCTCGCACCGCTCTTTGACTGGCTAGGCTGGCTAGGCGGGGGAGAACCGAACTGGCTACCGCCTACGCTGCCACTGCCAAAACCGTCATCTCCGAAGCCGGAGCGGGAGATGTTGGCGAAGTCTTCTACGTCGTCGGCGGAGCTGCCTTCCTTGGCGTCTTCGAGGTCGGCGAATTCGTCGTCTAGGTCGTCAAACGCGCCCTTGGAGGACTGGGAGGTAGCGGCAGGAGGTTGGGCGATGGCGGGAGCGGCAGCAGCGGGAGCGGCAGCAGCGGGAGGTTGGGTAGTGGTGGAGGTAGGAACGGGAGCAGCGACGGGAGCGGCAGCGGGAGCGGGAGAACCAGTGCCCCAGATGTCATCGTCGAAGTTGGCGTTACTAGTAGTAACGGCGGGCGGTGTTGCTAGTGCTGTAGTTTTCAGTGTTAGATGATACCTCTTTGGGAGTTGGGGGAGCTGGAGAAGCTGGAGATGAGACAGAGGCAGTAGTGAATGAGGATGTCTCGCTGTATAGCGTATCAGATCAGATCAGTCTTGCTGTTTTTGTTGAACAAAACTGGGGTATACAGGCAATCAAACAAACGGCAACAACCAAAACACCAACAAAAGCACCAAATCAAACAAAAGCAATACTGGAGTATTTGGCAACTTGGCTCAGCAGCAGCCGGCGCAGCCACTGCTTCGGCCTCGGCGCCCACAGGAGGCTTAACCGCGGGACTAGCAGGCGCGAAATCATCATCGAATCCAAACCACCAGCCTTCGAAGGCTCACCCGCCTCGCTCTCCGAATCACTCTCATCATCATCCCTCTCCAATTCCGAAATAGGAGGGAACTCCGAATCGAACTTGGAGAATGTAGCAGCCTTGGCAGGCTCCGCGACAGTAACAGCGGGCTTAGCATGGGTGTTCTTGAAGCTAGCGAACGCACTCTCAAAGTCCTCCTTCGCCTTGGCATCCGTGTTGACAGCGAAAGGATCGGCCTCAACCGGGGCGGCGGCGGCGGCGGCGGACTTGGACTGGCTGGTAGTGGAAGCGGGCGACATGGGACGGTTGGAAGTAGCAGACTGGCCGGTCTGGACGGGCTCGATGGGGAGCGCAGCGGGAGCAGCGGGAGTCTGATCCTGCGATCCATGGCGAGAAGGAGCGCGAGAACCGGACCCGCTAGGCTCACCGAACGGCGAGAAAGCACCAGGAACATTAGCGCTCTCAGCGGTGATAGTAGGCTGCCTGGAAATGGTAGGCGAAGTGCTGCCGGGAGTGGCAAACGACCCTGAACCAAAGCTATTGGTCGAAGTGCCGGTATTCTGGGCCTTGAACGCCGCAACCTGGGGAACAGGAGAAACAGCTAGAGGAGGTGGCGTAGGGCTCTGAGCAGGAGCGTTCAGCGACGGGCCAAAGACATCGTCAAAAGTCTGGCCACTCATCGACCTCATAGGCGAGGCGAACGCAGCGCTGATGTCCGCACTTCCCGTCCTCCTGAAGAAGGGGTTGTTACCACTTCCAGTGGACAGGGCAGGACTAGCGACCTGCGGCACCGGGCTGGCTTGTCTGGCCAACTCAACCTGTCTAGCCAGCTCCTCCTTCTCCTTATTAAGGTCCTCAACCTCATTCTGCAGCTTCCCCTTTTCGCCCTCCACCGTGCTCAACTGCTTCTTGTTGATAGCCACCAACCCCTTCTGCTGCCTGGCCTCGCTCTTCAACTTCTCAACCAGCGGCTTAAGCTGGGCAATCTCCCCGTTGACCGTGCGAATCTTCTCCTTCAACGAGGCGTTCTCCTGCTGGTCGGCTTGCAAGCCAGCAACAACCGTACGGTGCTGGTTCTGCAGCTCGAGATAGCTGGCTTCGACCATGGCGAACTCGGTCTGCAGCTTCTTAGTCTCGGCCTTGGCGGTGTTGAGCTGCGTTTCGAGAGCGCGGACGTCCTGAGCTTCCTTCTCGTACAAGGCACGCAGCTGGGTAAGGCGTTGTTCAAAGTTCTTCTTCTGCTGGCTGGCCTGGGACAGTTCGTTCTGGGTGTTAGTGCGCTGAGTCTGGACATCCTGAACCTGCTTGGTGAGAGAGCCGATCTGGTTAGAGAGGTTGGCAAGCTCCGTAGTCTCGTTGGAGAGCTTGTTGTTGACCTCAGGGTCGGCGTCACCCAGCAAATCGTCCTCAACAGTTGGCGGTAGCGGAGATCTAACACCACCCGCTGGTGCCGAGCTGTTCGAACCTCCAGTAGCATGTGTAGTCAAACCGCGACCAAAAGAGGACGAAGGAACAAACGGCTTAAAGTTCGAGCCCGTCACAACAGGGCGAATAGGTGAAGCTGGCGCAATGGGACTAGCACTGTTGCCGAACGGATCGACCGATCCACCGGTAGCAATAGGCACTTGCACCGGCGCCTGAGCGGCCGCAGAAGGCTGAGGATCATCCAGACCAAACAAGTCATCCAAAGCCGAAGGCTTCGGCGCAGGTGGTTGCGGGCGCGGGGGCTGGGGTTGGAAGCCACCAGCAGTCTGAGGTCTGCTTTGCTGGGGGGTGCGCATGCTAGGAGGAATCAAATTAGGAGGCAGAGTAGTAGGCAAAGGAACCTGGCCGGGCTTGAGTCGCTGCTCTCTGATCAAGTACATGGCAACAGCAAACTCGTCGCGTGTGAGACGGCCAGCCGAGTTGATATCCGCAAGGTCCCAGATCTGAGCAAGCGCATCCTCGTTGAGGTTGGACTGGCTGAAGAAAGGCACAGCCTCCTCGCCGGTAATAAAGCCCTTCTTCTGCTTATCCAGCTCCTCATACAGCAAATCGAACCGCGCCTTGTCCGCCGGGTTAATCAGCCAATCGCCAGTCGGTTGCGCGGGAAGTGGCGGACGTCCCAGCGGGCTGCCAGTTCTCGTCTGCGTAAGTTGTGCAGGGCCGGTAAGGTGTCTAGCAGCGGGCGGAAGCGGCGGAGTAGCGGTCGTCGGGGATCGGCCGGGAGGAGGAATGCCGCCAACGGGGGCGCGTCTCGTAGCGGCTTCGTACAGCGCAGCAGGCAGGATGGTAGGCAAACCGCGCAGGGCACCCGTCTTCATCGAGGTGAGCAAGTGCATGGCAATGACGAACTCGGTCAGCACCAGCGCACCACGCTGCTCTGTATCGGCCAGCATCCAGATTCTTCCCAAAATCTCATTCGACAGGCCCGATTTCTCAAAGATCTGCTTCGCCTGCTCGCCAGGGAGCATGTTTCCCTGCAGGGGCTGTCTCTCGAACAGGGCCGAGTACTGGGAGACCTTCTCGGGGGTCAGGGGCGGGATCCGGATAGGGCCGGAACCGGTGGCCTGGGGAGAAACCATGGCAGCAGGCACCGCAGGCGACTGGGGCCCCGGACCAGGAACGGGAACGGGGGCGGGAGTCGGGGTGAAGCCGTCGAATCTAGGAATGGGACCCTGCGACAGGGCGAGCTCGGGGGAAGGTTCGCGACCGGCTTGCGCGTGCCCGATAAGCCGCAAGACAACACCGAAGCCTGCTGGGGTGAGGAAGCCCCTGTTTTCCTTGTCGGCGATTTGCCATATCTGAATACGTCAGCTGCTGTCGTTGTCGCACGGCAGGTGTAGGTAGGTAGCAAGGGAAAGGGAGACAATGAACGACTGAACTGACCTCTCCCAAAACGCGGGAATCCAACTTTGTCCTTTCAAAGAACTTGACAGCTACCTCGCCGGTAATAACTCCAACGGCATCAGTATCGGCGGCGCGGAAGAGCTGGCCGTAGACTCGCTTCTCCTCGGGGGTGAGGTTCAAGTTGGGAACGCCTGGTGGTCGCATGGGAATTAACTCCTGTTCAGTAGAAGGATAGGGGAGACTAAGGATAAGGTGGACTCACCAGCATCGGGATCAGAAGCCATCATGGGCAAGCTGTACCCTCTGCGCAGAGGACTTGTGGGTGGGTATGGTTTCGTTTATTATCGTAGTAAGTAGGTGACCTGGTTACTGGGACCAGCTACTGTCGTCGGTGATTAACTGATTATCGGGGTCGGATATCGGGTTCGTATTAACCCAATCTCTTTTCCAAAGTATCCGTAGTAGCGACAGGTGCGAGAGGTCAGTCGGCCCAGGCAATATGTCGTCGGGTTTCTGGGCTGAGGTAGGTAGGTCGTTGGTTGTTGGTTGTTGGTGGAGATATCGATCGATTGGGAAACGTCGGGATGCTTGGGCGGGTGTTCCGCTCGCTGAGAGCTGAGGTTGTTGGTGCTTGGGTTGTTGCCGGGTCGCGGAAAGGGGACGGAATGACGCCCTGGATGATCAATGTCGCAACAAGGGGATGGGACTTCAAGGGCGACTGGTGGGATGGGATTGTTTCGGATTGATGATACAAAGCACCGACAAGGGCAATCCGTCGACGAGGTACAGTGAAAAAGAAAGAGAAGAAAGAGAAGGTTAGGCGCAAGATTGATTTGCTTTGCTACAGTATGGCTAAGGTATGGTGTCTAGCTGAGGTTGGCCAGATTGCTGCCTCCTCTCTGCCTCTGCCTCTGTATAATTTGAGGTTGCGAATGCGACAACCTCTTCCGGGCTCTTTGTCCAGCGACTTCCACACTTCCACAGCGGGCGCTACAGAGCTTCGAGTCCGCCAAGATTAAAAGTGGACCCTCTTAAAGCCAATGTGCTCCACCCGCAATGTGCGCTGCTGGAGTCTAGCGGCTGTTAGTGCCACAAAATGCGGAGTCATTCATCTGGTTGGGCCTGCACAGCGGCTGCAATGTTCTGTGATGCAGCCGTGCATTTGTGCCCATCATCCCAATGTCCATCGGGCATATGCCAACGATGGGGATCATATAAATGGCTTAAGGCGTTCATAATTCATCCTCGGCCTTGTGATAAACCTAATGCTTTTCAAGCTGAAGCTATCCCCAGGCTCTCTTCTGGTCCTGAGGCCATCACATTCCTCACCCTCGTACAGTGTCCTGACTGTCCTCCTGGGGTAGTAACCCCCATCCCCATCTCCCATGTTTATCCCAACCTAACCTAACCTTCAACCAACGGCCCGTCCAACCACAATACCACTCACGATGCACACAACTACACCAACCCACGTTCACACCACCATCTCAGTTGCTGGTCTGGACGCCACATGGTGGTATATCCCTCATGCCATGTCTGCATATGGTATTACACGACTCTAACTTGCTAGACTTGACCACCTGAAGCTATTGGAATCGGAAATGGGCGCGTGAGCTAAACGAGAGCTTACACAACCCGTTTAAGCCAATCACTCCTTGCAATACCATACAGAGACACCATGTACACCAATACTATTTCACTCAATTAAAATCAGCTATCACGTTTCAGTCTAAAAACAAAATACTTTCAACAACCTCAAGTCCTCACGCACCCATTCAAACAACTAACAAGAAGCCACAATCAAGGGGCTCCGTGGGTATTCTCTCTGTGGTTCGGGCGGCATCGATATTACCACCGCTTGTACTTTGTATATCTCTTCATTCTGAATCCGTCAAGATCCTCGTACCAACAATTATCCTTGAACAATCAGTGCATCCCGTACACTGTGTTGCAGTACAAGTACTTGCACTTAGTACTCGGCCTCGACCTCCTCACCCTCCATAGAGTCGGCAGCAACCTCCTCATAATCGCGCTCAAGAGCGGCAAGATCCTCACGAGCCTCAGAGAACTCGCCTTCCTCCATACCCTCACCAACGTACCAGTGGACGAAGGCACGCTTGGAGTACATGAGATCGAACTTGGACGAAAGAGCGGACCAGGCCTCAGCAATGGCGGTGGTGTTGGAAAGCATGCAGCTAGGGTCACAGTTAGCACCAGTCATCCATGCATACACAGGGATAGAGAAAAACTTACACAGCACGGTTAACCTTGGCCAGATCGCCGTTGGGGACCTGGTGAGGGGGCTGGTAGCAGATACCGAGCTTGAAGCCAGTAGGGCACCAGTCGACGAACTGGATGGTGCGCTTGGTCTTGAGGGTAGCGACGGCAGCGTGGGCGTCGTTGGGGACGACGTCACCGCGGTAGAGCAAGCAGGTGGCCATGTACTTGCCGTGCCGGGGGTCGCACTTGACCATCTGGTTGTTGGGCTCGAAGCAGGACATGGTCATCTCCTGGACAGAGTTGGCCTCGTGGGCGGCCTTGGCAGCCGAGATGACGGGAGCGTAGGCGACGAGAGGGAAGTGGATACGGGGGTAGGGGACCAAGTTGGTCTGGAACTCGTTGAGATCGACGTTGAGGGAGCCGTCGAAGCGGAGCGACGCGGTGATGGAAGAGACGACTAAGGATAAAAAGTTAGTATAGGAAAATCACACACGTCATAGACCCATCCAAATCACGACATACCCTGGGCGATCAGGCGGTTAAGGTTCTCATAGTTGGGGCGCTCGAGGCCGAGGTTGCGGCGGCAGATGTCGTAGATGGCCTCGTTGTCGACCATGAAGGAGCAGTCGGCGTGCTCGAGGGTGGTGTGGGTGGTGAGGATCGAGTTGTAGGGCTCAACGACCGAGGTGGCAGTCTGGGGAGCAGGGTAGACGCAGAACTCGAGCTTGGACTTCTTGCCATAGTCGACAGAGAGGCGCTCCATGAGGAGAGCACCGAAACCGGAACCGGTACCACCACCGAACGAGTGGAAAACGAGGAAACCCTGGAGACCGCTGCAGTTGTCGGCAACGCGGCGAACCTTGTCGAGGACCTGGTCGATAAGCTCCTTGCCGACGGTGTAGTGACCACGAGCGTAGTTGTTGGAAGCATCCTCCTTGCCGCTGATCATGTGCTCGGGGTGGAAGAGACCGCGGTAGGCGCCGGTGCGGACCTCGTCGATGACATTAGGCTCGAGATCGGCGTAGATGGTGCGAGGAACGTATTTCCCGTTGCCTGTGTTTTTGGTTTGTAAGCTTCTGTTTTGCGCAATGTGGTAGGCAAGGCGCTATGTACCGGTCTCGGAGAAGAAAGTGCTGAAGCCATGGTCGGGGTCAGCGGCCTTGCGCTCCTCGGTCAGGTAACCATCGGGCTGTAGTGTCGTAGGTTAGCATCTTGTGTGCGGATGGCGGGGAACGATAAGGTGGGAGGGGGATGGGGGGCAAAAGCTTACCTGAATGCCGTGCTCAAGGCAATAAAGCTAATGATAGGGGTTAGCTTTCTTTGTCCTGTATATGTTTTGAGGGTGATCGGATGTTCCGTAGTTCGTTTGTCAAAGCTATCATGGACATGATGATGTGTCGCGTGGTGGTGGGGATGACGGGAGAGGGCAACGATGACCTACCTCCCAGCAGGAGTTGGCGATCTGGCAACCAGCCTGGCCGACTAGATGGGGGGAAGCAACGTTAGCATGATGTGTATGTTTATCTCGACAATAGATGATGTAGGTAGATGGCCGGATGGTGGATGAGGCCGATGATGCGCCAGCTTTGGGTGGGCGACGGGTTCACGCTGGCGGTGAGGCTGCTTTTTCCGCCAACAAGGCGCGCCACACTATGGAGGCGAACAGTCGGCAGGCGGGATAGCTGGGCGAGAAAGCGGTCGGTGATTCAGGAGAATAGAAATGAAGCTGTCGACGTACCGTTCAAGCTGATAATTTCACGCATTTTGTATGGTCTGGTGGTGGTGTATTAAAGTAAGGTAGTAGTAGAAAGAAGAGGTGGAAAGCAAAAGTTGATCAAGACTCGAAAAGACGGCGTCGCGGTGGGTTGTTGGAGAAATGGAGGGCAGCGATGCGGTGGATGGGATGGATGGGATGTGCAAAATTGAGGATTTGGCGGGCGGCCGACTGATGAGCGAGCGAACAGGAAGCACAGGCCGGGCGACCATCGACCTGGGCCGTTGGTGGGGAAATTTGATTGTTGACACCAGCCTGCCCCAATGGGGGAAAGCGTGGTTTTGGCTCCTGTCCGACCAATGACCACGAAAGACGGGCCACTCGTCAGGCCCAAATCCGCCGAGACCTTTTCCTTCTGTCTGTTTTGCTCTCCCTCGCGCCTGGCTTTTTGTCATCCGTCACCTCACCTGCATTGAAGCCTCCTGTCTTCCAGACATCACCGCGACTTCTGGCAGCAGCAGTGGCATTGATAGCGGTGCCTCCAGCAACGACTCGTGAACTTTCAGCGACAGCGACGACCATTCAGTTAGTCGAGGGTCCGTGCACCGAGCCCCCTTTGGCCCCTCGTCATCCGCCACTCCCAGTACTGTACTGTACCAGGGGTATCACCAACTTGCTGGCAGGTGGTTACTGGTTGCCGTGGTGCCCATCTTGAACTGTTTAGACTGGTGGACCGCCTGTTGTTCTTGCCCCTGGACTTGACTCCTTCCAGTGGCAGACGGCCGGTCCAGAACTCCAACTTCGGATTTGTAAGTTCGACCTGGGAACATCGCCAGCCACCAATGTGTCAGGGGCAGCAGCCAGCAAAAAGTCCGCGGTTTAAATGTGATTTCGAGGGTCATTCTTTTCTGGAAATCTGCGGTGGAGACAAGCTGGTGCATCTACCGCCCGGGTACCTGAACGACAACATGATTTTGTCTTTGACAACCTGGAAAGGGGATCACGGGGTGATTCTGAACTGTCGTCCCTTTCTTGCCAGAGCCATCATATTATTCCTACAGTTACTCCTTACCTCACTTTTGAGATGTCAATGGATTGACCTAGTACTATTGTTTTCGACATGGTAGGCTCCCGTCGGTATCTAGGTTAACCCAAGCTTCCGGTATATGCATGCATAACCCATGAGGATTTGCACCGGCTTATGGAGTAGATCCATGTACGGTATTTTTACCCCTGAAAATGTTCAACCATCTGCTCGGTAACGAGGAAGTGGGTTCTTGAGAGCATCACTCAATATTAAAACATCCGGCGCATGAGATATCACGTTCCAATTGGCAGCCATTATTGGTGAATTAGTTTGTGCTTTTGGGTACGGATGAAAGATCGTGAAGCGACCCAGTGCTGCAGCATTGGATGGACCTGCAACATGCATGTTCCTGCAGTAGATCAGTGATCGGGCAGACATCAGTTGTACAAACAGATGAACGTCAGCTTGAAGTCAAATTGGGCTCAGCTGTCTTTGTCTCAAGATTCTTTCTTCAGTTCAGTCTGTTTGCTGTTTTACTCCTTCTTCCAATCTGTCCCTCTCTTCACTTCCTCTTCACCAACCTCTTCTTGACCCATTGCTTAGCTCTGATTGACCTGCATTTAAAAAAGACGAAAGCGTAGACTCGCGGCCATGCTCAACCCCGCCGTCTTGATGATCGCCGTCGTCACCAGGTCTGTATCCGGAGGCTTCCTGAGTCCGGCTTCTGGCACTGGACATGTCCCGGTATCTGCGACTTTGCCTGGATGTGCGATGTGTCCCAGACAAGTGAGCCTCCTCCTCCCTGGCTGCCTTGAACTGGCTATCGCAGACTCCGTAGCCTGGTGAGGCCATCCAGATGAACTCTCCTGGTATGCAGGGTTCAGTGTAGAAGGCAGGCCAGACAACGCTCAAGAGATCATTGCCGGCTGCGCTGGTCGTGGCGACGGCCGCAGCAGATGAAATGTCGAATGTTCGGATGGTTGACCTGGAGGGTGATGGGGAATCCGATAGCCTATCGATGTCGTGAGTGAAAGTAACGTTTGAGCAAGACATGACAGGGGATGACTGCCCGTTTCCCACAAGCCGTTGTTTCTGCTTGGGGCTTTCGGGATATTCGCCGGGATACGTCACATCGGGCAGCTCCGAGTTCATCACAACCATGGATGACAAAGGAAGTACCCGGTACTCATCCGTATCTGGTGGTGCCCAGTCCTCAGTTGAATAGTGTATCTTGGTCTCCAACTTCTGCAGGTTTTGCCAAATTTGACAAGTTCTCCTACAAAAGCGATCAAGATGCTGCATGAAACGGACCCGCTCCGATTCTGATAACAGCGGCCCAACGCACTTATCCACACTGGCTTTCACTGTCGCTACTTTAGCCTTCACCTTCTGTTTCCATTGGTCGTCGTCAATGGAGCCAAAGAGAACAGAGCGAAAATAGGCCTCTTTGGCAGGATCCATGGTCCTGAGCAATGCGGTAAACTCATCGTTGGCACGGGGGTCCTCGAACAAATGAGTCGGATGAAAGACATGCTTCTTCAGTTCGGCAAAAAGAACGGCGAGAACGGCGACGCTGCGCATCTGCCTCGCGGGGAGAGTGTTGGACAGGGGCAATGGGATTCGGGCTTGGTGGACAATATTATGCTTCTTTAGCTGATCCCACAGGGCAGCGTTGGCTATGGAAGACTCGGGGAGATCCACGCCGAAGAACTGCTTGGCTAGCTCGCGGGCGAGGTCGAAGATCTTGGTGAAGCGCTTGGCTCTGTGCCCCGTGGTTATCAGCTTGATAAACAGAAAACAAAAATTGGGGACGATAACTCACATATTTCCTGCGTCCATGGACTTCAACGGCGTCGAGAAATTCTTCAGTATTTCGAGCTCTTCCTTGTTTTGATCCAGATCTTCTCTGGTTAACTTCAATTCTTGTTCGATAGCTTCCTTCTCTTCATTCTTTTTGCATTCTTCCTCGAGACGTTCAGTCAGATTCAGGATCTCGAGCTTGGCCTTTCTCAGTTCGTCATCAGCCCTGGTGATAGTTTGGCCCCTCTCGTCTAGCTCATGTGTCTTGGCGGCGAGAATTGACCCAAGGTCGTCAGCTTCCTTTTGAAGGGACTGGACTTGTTCGTCTTTCTTTCGCAATTCGTGACAATACTTGTCCAGTTTTGCTTTGGTGTTGTGCAAGTTCTCGAGGTTCATGTCAAGGGCTGTCGTGAGCTTTTCGACCTTGTCGTGCAGCTCCGCATTTTGGTCGGAAATGCCCTTGAGCTTCTCGTAGGACGTGTGTGTAATGATGTCTTGAAAGAGGTCCGCGACCACCTTTGCGTGGTCTATCTGACTTGAAGACATATTGGATTTAAGGATGTCAGCCCTGGAAGCAATGAAACTGGGACCGAACTGGACGAGAGAACAAGTAGCGATGGACTTTATGGGGTTTTCACTCCAACAATTTCCCTGGCAGTCCAGCAACGAAGCAACGGCATTGTTTGCCCGGCTTTGCTCAGTCAATCTCACAAAGCTATTGTACTTTTTCCGCTTCTGAGGCAGGAATCCGTAGCTTTGGCCATTCGGGAGGAGAGAGAGGCGAGTGATTCACTCAGAAGGGCAAACCGAGGGCCTCGCACATTGATCGGCCACAGAGCACCAAACATTGAAATGATCAAGGAACCCTTCATTTTTGAAGCCAGGTCTCATTATCGCCGTTTGACTTGGTCTGGTCCATCCATGTTGAGCAAGTGTTTGGTGCTGTTGCGAAAGCAGTCAACCGCTGCCGAAGCCCGAATGATGATGCCGTGCCCTGTTGTGGTAAGTGGTGGCGTGTCAACCTCAGACTTTCGATTCGTGGCCAACCACTCCGACATTTTGAGTGTCCGCGTGGGGTGTTTCGCTAGCTGCCTGTATCTCGGGCAGTCGAATGAGTGACAAAAACTGGAAGGTGAGAAGGTGAGAAGGTGA